AATGTCGAGCAACGACTTGATAGAATGAAAACCGTGGATTTTCTGTCTTGGTAGAGGAAGTCAGAAATAGCACTCCGAGACTGGATGCGGGATAGGTCCAATAATATACGGAAATGATACAGTGTGGATCACAGCGAGTGATAGTGTGGACCGATTTCTTAGAGCTATTTCGGACCCATCGAACGCCGACTTACGCTCGGTAGTTCCACACATGGAAGTTGCGGCCATCGTCTGACAATAGTTTATCAATGACACTCAGCTCGCTCGCTATCAACCTCTCTGGAGTCTGCTGCTCACTGCTGCCTGAGGGCGACAATACTGTTGAGATAATTCTTGACCATACCACTCCATGGCCACTTCAGACAAATGGACCCACCTTCATCCACCGGACTGTTGGTCGACAGGAGATCAAGGAGTTCATCTACGACCCATCTCCTCTGATGCCATACACAGTAGGATTTGGTGATACTAAATCGAAGTAGTGTCAAACGTCAATCATGTGAACCGCCCAGTGATGACGCACAGAGCCAGAATGCGTGAAAGCAAATCTTAATTTCTAGGAGCGTTCATTCGGATCGTCAACGGTATATCATAAGTTCACAACTGGACGTGACAATATCCTATAGTTAGAAACCGTCCTAACGTCGAGAAGCAACTAAGTACAGTAGCGTAAACGTAGTCGTCGTGATACAGTGGACAAGAGCCACCTACTGTTTGGTGGCCATGTTGAGTAACTCCAACTCCTTCTCCAAAGCAGGCACTCGCAAGGATGTGGGGAGTCGAGAGAGCAAATCGCGCCTGACGACACCATCGATAGCCCCCGCGAATTTGCGAGAGTAAATTCACTGTACTGAGCCTGAGGATACTACCGGAAATTCCAAATCGTGGCAACCTCCGGGTTGATCTGCAAGGCCTTCATAGTCAGCCCGTTCACTTCTGGAGTCATCTCCTTACTAACAAGAAAACAAAACTCTAGTGAACCGAACACTGGGGTTCGACGACTATCGTTGATACTCCCGGGTGCTCCGCACTCTCACACGCGAGTCGAATAGCCTCCCATGTGAAATTACAAGTGACCTACCCTCTACAGTACTGATTCCTCGAAATTATACACTTCTATCACGAAGGTTCACTGAGCTCCTCCTTTTCCTCGGAGGCTCACCAGGTTTTCCTAGCTTCCAATACATCATGCATGAGCTTCAACGCCTTAGCTGCTTTCTCCCTGTCCAACGACTTCTGCTCCAAAGAGGTCTCATCGTGTGACAACTTACGCCGGCCGTGTTGCATTATAAAGAAAAAACGCTACCGAACAACCATTGGCAGAGTCGGCGGTCCACAGATATGTAGGAAAAAAATGTAGGAAATATGTACAACTGATATCAGGGAACCTCACGATCCCACAGGCGACCTACCATAGATCAACGCGATTCACGCTGCAAAACTCAACTCGGCCGCAGTCCGAAACTATCAGGGATCGTCATCCTCACTGTCCGACCCCATGAGTTGCATTAACCGCATCGTGAGCTGCTCAGCCCGCTGCCTCCTTTCCGCGTCAGAGCCAGCCTGCAGTGCCGAATCATGAGCTGCCTTGATTTGGCTCATCAACCCGTCCAACTCTTCTATGCTCACTTCGTCAGCCTTCTTCTCAGCCGAATCATTCTGCTTCGCTCCGTCGTCTCCCTGTTCAATTTTCAACACCGCGTTAGACCAGTCATGCATCTTCAAAGCCTCGAGAACCCGCTCTGGCTCCTCGTCGAAATCAACGACTTCAAAACCTCTATCCCAGCACCACTCTTCAACGCCTGTCGTGATCGATCCCATCATGACCATCAGTTTAACAGCGGACTCGTCAAAGCGACCTTCTGGAAGACAGACGGAGCCGGGCCGCTCTACCACTAGAATAACAGCTTCAGCAGGCTTGCCCTCAATTTCGCTGCTGCACTCGACGTGAATGCTGCAGGTATAGTACTTGGTGTCCAATTCGAGAGTAGCTTGCATCTCCGACAGCCCCAGCGACTCAAGAACGGGTGAGGGATCGCATGAAGGACCGATAGGAACCACTCTCGCGACAGGGAGAGGCTGAGCGGACATGATGAAGAGGTTGAGTTTCTACTAATTTCCTGGAATTTTCCATCGCCAGCAACTTAGCCACATTTTGATGGATAAGAGGGAACAACGAATACGGCCCATCCTCAACCAAACAACTCATCGAGGTATCAGTGATAATATTACATGCAAGATGCTATCAAACAATTATATAACCTCTCCCTCAATAATGTCGATGAATGAAATATCACTAGCACTCTCTTCATCTCCCCAGTCCTCTCGCACAACGATCGCCTCGACGGCCACTGTGGATTGCGCATCTTCCTGGTCACGATGATCATTTCTATCCAAAGGTAGATCCCCGGCCAAGATGCTCTTCGAAACCACCATCTCCGTAGGGGACATTGGCATCTGAAAACAGCATAGCAGAAATCCCCAAATCAGATTCGGAAAAGTCGTCTCAACAAGTGAATACACAAGCGCTTGTAGTGCTCCTTCTTCGCCGTTGATAGCTGACCTCGTCAGAGCGCTCCGCATATTTCATCAGCTCAGCGGGGAATATAAAATTAAACGAACCCACTTCGGAGCGCTATCGCTTGGTCAATTGATCTCGCAATAGACTAGCAGAGTCCAAGAGACCAACCGGATCTACCACGTCGATATGTCATTCGATCATCATACTACCACGGGGAACATCAATGAGCTGCCATTCTCTTCCTCAACTGGTGGAAAGTCGGCCGGGGACTTCAAACAGCCATTCTTGACCACCATATCTCTTCTCGACTTCGACAAGTGACCACGAAGTTTACCCAAGAACACACGAAGTACCGAACCATACTGACACAGGCCAGCCTGATCCAGCGCCCTAAAGACATAACATAAGCTCCTCCAAAACGACCCAACGACAAGAAAGCAGTCCGGTCACCAGGAATGGTACTACGAGGAACTCAAGGAAAAAATTCATGGGCAGCTATCCTCGCCATGGTAAGGATTGCACGACGAAACGGCACTCCACTTAGATGCTCACCACAAGATGTCCTCCGCTAGCATCACTCTCCTGCCTTCTCGTGTGCATCGCTGTGCCGCTAGATGAGTAACAAACATCAGGAACTCGCTTATACAGTCCTGACATCCGACAACAAGAACAAACCAACTGAAGGTACCCGACCAATCGCGCTTTCTCGCTCAACTTCCTGTCGGCCTAGTCCCACCTGTAATGTGAGCTTGAAACACTTGCCGATGCAGCCTGGCTTGTCCGGTAAGGCGTTCTGCACTACTGTCACAATGTTCGTCCACGGAAGGTACCTACAAGATTCACCAAGTCGGCCCTGATCCGAATCATGCTCGCAAATCATCTATTTTCTTCTACCCTTGTTCCACTGCATACGACATGTCCTTAGGGAGCTCGCCCTTCACCTCTTCCAAAAATAGTTTCTCTCGCAGCAAGTTACCTATACGAAAATGCACCGCTTCACATGTTCTCCCATGCCCACCGTTTATCACTACCCTGGACCGGTAAAGCTGACGTAGAGCCTTGCTCTCCTGATTGCTGTTCAGACTGGTTTGGGTCACAAGAGGACGATGAGATGTGGCTGCTGTTCACCACACCAACAGTAATTCGATCGGTCTCGGATACTCTCGAGTCCTGCACATGGCCAGCGGCATGTCTCTGATGAAGTGGAATTATCTCTGTAGAAACGGATCGACACAGAGGGGACACCCGCCAACAATCACGTCCTTCAGCTCAGCGACGCGATGATTAAACCATAACGCTGCGCTCGATCCCTAGCTACCCGTGATCCATTAGAGTTAGATGTGGCGACTTTTTCGGTGTCCTCATCAGGCTTACGCCGCCTTTTTCCTCTTCTCAGCGCCTTTGCCACGTCGTAGCGCATGGATGCTGCTCGCAGTACGGAGCTAGGCATGTTGCAAAGACGCTCTACCCATAACAAATCCACCATGGAGTCTCAACGGTGCTAACTGATGCTGCGAGTCAAGTGAGACCATCTCCCAATGGCATCACAACGATTATCCTGAGGATGGCGTCGAGCCAATCAACGCGGCAATCGGCAATGAAGTGCGGAAATCATGCCGTTCCACAACCCATCTCAAATAACAAGTAGTCATAGTGTAACGTATACGCGCACCGAG